CAGATGTATATGCTGTACAAGCCGTGTGTGTGTGTGTGTGTGTGTGTGTGTGTGTGTGTGTGTCTGTCTGTCTGTCTGTCTGTCTGTCTTTCTTTCTTTCTTTCCTAAGAAATAGATAATATAGGCCTGGAATGGAACAGGAATGTATGTGTCACAAATTGCTACCGATATTAGGAGCCGTACTTATGAGGAACCCATTATATCTTTGTGAATACTGAAACCTAATATTTAGATTACATACATACATACGTGTGCAGCTTGAACCTAAATAACCATTGAGATGCCCTTCCTTGTGTGGGACTGTCCAGACTTTAATCTTTGCTGAGAACCCTTCTCATGATCCTGCCTATGGACAATAACCAGGGTACCTTCTTAGTTGTGGCTCTCTATCTTTAGAAGTATTTCCAGCATCTTCAGTTGACTAGTTGACACGTTCCATTAAACTGCACTTCTTCATTCACATGTTTGGGTCCTTTTGATGTGATATGAGAACCTGGATTCTACTTTACTGAAGACATTTTTGGAACTGATAGTTGTTTGAAGCATTAGGAGCACTCCTTTACTGGGGTTATGTTTGATACTTTTATTTTCCTGTGGGAAACCACCCTAAAATTTGTTATGAAGAGCTTTGTATACATACAGTAAGTAGAAAAACATTAAATAAAGCAGTGATGGATCAAATAAATGGCCATGTAGTCAAGGAGTGGCCCATCAGATAATCATGAGAAGTTCACAAGCAGGACTCTAGCAGCTTCCACTTAAATCCCCAGCAACTGATAGAAAAAAGCGTATTAAGAATTACTCATAATGCTGTAATAATAGATTCCCCCATACATTTACTATTACAGTTGGTATCTTAGCTGAGTGATAAATCTTTTTCAATCTGACAAAATATAGATCTGAGTGCTAATAATTCCTTACCTTTGCCATTATTGTACTATTTTGATTAAAGAATTACAGTAGTACCTCGGGTCACGAACTTAATTCGTTCCGCGACTCTGGTCGCAACCCGAATTGGTCGCAACCCGAATCAAATTTTCGCATAAGGTTCAATGTAAATACGGTTAATCCGTTCTGACCCCTCCGAATTTGGTCGCCAACTGATTTTGGTTGCGACCTGAATAAAATTTTCCCATAAGGTTCAATGTAAATACGGTTAATCCGTTCTGACCCCTCCGAATTTGGTCGCCAACTGATTTTGGTTGCGACCTGAATAAAATTTTCCCATAAGGTTCAATGTAAATACGGTTAATCCGTTCTGACCCCTCCGAATTTGGTCGCCAACTGATTTTGGTTGCGACCTGAATAAAATTTTCCCATAAGGTTCA